ACCTGGCATATTGTTCCTATTGAGGATATCTTGGTCTTTACATCGAAAAAAGGTGCAAATTTCTTATATGCATCCCTAAATGGCCGTGTACCAGGATATGGGTCCCGGTATATTCAACATGGGCGCCATGTCTTGAACATTGTCATGTATGTGCGTATGTCCTTACCGCATTCGGGATACCGAAGCCTCGTATCCTGGAAATGGACCGTCCACATCCAGGTTATGGCGTATCCTGTACATGCAAACTCAGGAAGTGTTGCCCATGTTCTATTCAACATCTCGGGTGTGTAGCCCCCACTGCCCATTGCACATCCAGCGCATTGACAGATGCAGAATCCACAATTTGCTCTGACTTATCATATACTGACATATCACGCCTTAAAACCCAATAGCACATCAACATTCTGGCACTGTCCTTCAAGGGCAATGGCAGCCGACTGATATGCTGCTGGGAGAATGTCCTGGAAACAATGTCCAGACAGCTGAAAGGCTTGAATTTGCAAGCGGCCAAACGCTGGCCGAAACAGTCAAAACGGGCAAAACGCACTGCAAGGGGCGGGAAGGAGTTGTTCAGAGTAGCCGAAATGCAGGCGCAGCAAATAGATCGAGATAGGCGGCCTACATAAATGGCTAGAGCGTGGTGCGCAATGCACAAGGGAAGTGCCACACCTGCCGAAATGCTATCGCCGTGAGCAGCTTAAGACAAAAGCCCATGCGAAATGGCCAAAGTGTAGGGCACCGGTGCCCAAAAGTGCACGGGCCATTTTGGCAAGTTTGGGGACACCCAGTGGCCCCACTGCCTTTATTTGGGTTGTTTCAGCTCCAAGAGTGGCCATCTAGGCTGCCTCTGACTGCTGAAACGGGTGTGTTTGACTCATTTCGGCAAGTCGGAGGGCACACTGCACTCCGCACCAAAACCGTTTCGGCTGCTTTGGCTCAACCTTCAGCCACGCACAACACTTTCGTGGATGGTGCAAGCTCAATGAATTGTGCCTCCAAGGGATATTGATTTCAATATAAACCACACTGATTTGAGTCATCGCAAAGTCTGACAACATACAAGAATCATGTGCTTCTGCATTCACAGCCATTGCTTGAAGGGCAGAGGCTTAGGCACCTAACTGAAAAGTGCTCACGTTGACCTAAATTTCCAACCATATATTCACATCTCCAGTTAGGAAGAGATGAGCATCCCTAGTGTTGGCCTCCTTTGGCGCCCAGGAGACATGGATGGAGCACAGTAAGCGTGAGCATTTTTTGGAGGGAACTGGGTTCGGTAGATTGCGGGCATTTATGACCCTACCATCCTCTGGTTTGCTTTGTGAGGACGATGAGATGCGAAAGGAGAAGGACGTGAATAGGAAACTGATGCTATGAATTGTCGCCAGCAAACGCCCAAAACTAAAAGGAAGAAAACAGAGTGGAGAGGAGTTCGCGTGCTTCCGCAGCTGGAGCAATCGTGGCTGCAGAAGCGGCGTGTGTTTGGTATTGCCTTACGCCAACGCGATCCAGTGCACTTTAGGGATTTGTTCTGGTTGTATTGCACGTACCCGGAGCGGCTCTCCACCTATCTTATGAATTTTTGCTTTAAATTCAACTCTTTGACTCGGGCACTCATGTTTCTGGAACATCTGTTCCACGGTCGTGCTGAAAACATATTTGGATGAGGTTTGGAATATAATTTCAGTGATGTCACTGCACAAGCTTCCCCTCCACGCATCGTTTCAAGGGCAAACTGATCTTCATTCAAATGCCAAAGTGGCATACTTCAACTGGTGTTTTCTTCCGTTACAGTCCTGATACAACCCATATCTGCAGCATGTTTCATATGGAATTGAGCGCAAGCCCGATAAACGAGCAACTGGTCATGGAATTGACCAACTTGCTCCCCATGTATTTTCTTCTTTCCATCACTTGGAAGCCAGAATGCACGAGAAGTGAGAAGCGGCGTTCCCATGCAGCTGCTGAAAATCCCTTTCGCGATGATGAGCTGTTGAAGGAGGGCGGGAAATGAAAAGCACTGTTGGCTGCTCAGGATCTTGTGACGCTGGCGGCAATGACCGAAGATTCTGCATCGCCGGAAATAGTCAGGGATCTTCTCTCGAGAGGAGCAGATCCCAACGCCGACTTGTCCTGTTGTCTTGACAAGTTCAACGCGGACAAAAGGGCGATGTTCAGTGCAAACTGCAAGGTCCTTCACGGGACAACCCTCAACGACAACTCCATTGTGGCCGCCGCCCTGGTAGAGGCGGGAGCCAACGTGAGTGCGCGGTGTGACGGTGGTTGGGCGCCACTTCACAGAGCAGCAATCCACAATGCAGAAGGCGTTGCCGGCGTGTTGCTTGATGCGGGAGCTGACGTTGGAGCCCTGGATTGGTTCGGTGACACGGCTTTGCACGAAGCAGCCGGCTTTGGAAGCTTAGAAGTGGCAAAGCTGCTGGTGTCAAGAGGAGCCAGCACGGGGGCCGAGAATACAAGCGACCAGACTCCGGGGGACAGAATATGTGACAAAGAAGATTTTTGCGATGAAGAGGTCAGAAAAGAGCTTGAAGATTTGCTGCTTTAATGGTGCCAGCGCGAAACCTAGAAGCATGGACAGTGCGTCTTTTCACCGCTGAACAGACCATCATAACTTGTGACCATGAGCAACCTGGAGCGCGAAAGAGAGAAAGAGAGATATGCCACGCATCTGCTTTGCCTTGATGCATTTTAGTTGCATTTCATGCTAGATATGTTGCTGGAGGCGTTTGCCATCTGCAAGTTGGCTACTCTGTGGCCTGCCGAAGGGTCCTGCTCATACGCACCGAAGCAAAATGAACGGCTTACAAAAGGAGCAGATTCACGCAACATAGGGACATCACAATGGCATTGCAGCAACGTTGGCGGACCTTGATGGCAGCGCCGTGCGTCATCAGCAATTACAAAGTTCCTCTTTGCCCAACTTTGACAAAGAATGATGTGTCAATATTGAGCAATGTCTTGTTCAACACGAGTTCGTGTAAAGCGATTCCCACAAAGGCTTGATGCAATAGTGAGCAACATGAATTAGTGGAGGATTGCCACAATCTTCGCCAATGCAACGCACACCGGCGGGTGTTTCACGGGATGCTGTGTCCTGCGGCGATGCAATATTTCTACAAGTGGTTCGCTGTTTGGGCTGCTCGGGTTTTTGATGTTTTTTGGCTGTTACAGCGCAAGTTTCATCGTACGCACTTCTTTCGTTTCTGAGCCCATTTATCCCCCAACGTGCTTTGCTGGTGTGATACCTGTGGTATTACAATTTACCCTCGCTCTCCATCCCAATGATGTTACTGTTGCTATCAGATCACGCACCCTACTCACAACCCTCGGAATGCAGCCCTGCGTTTGTCTTCTCTCACTTGGAATCCTGGTCAAATCAACGCTGAAAGTGTTGTGGCCGTTTCTTTTGTTCGCCATCGCAGTACTGTGAACGGAGCTGAAACAGGCCAGCTCGAGGAACTGTTTGCATGTGCATCATCATCAATGCCGAATGGACTAAACATCAACTTTTGACCAACGCGGGTCATCTGCGCTTAGCACACTCTTGCAAGCGAGACAGGGGAGATAAAGGCGAGTGGCTTCTCTTATTGTTTCATGGTGCTGTGCGACCGACTGCAGTGACGCATTCTTGCATGACTTTGCAGGCAGAAGAGACCTAACAAAAAGATGGAATGTGCCATGGCATAGATTAACGCGCGCTCGGGCTTACTGACAACGGGGCAGCAGCCTCTACGTAAAGCCGACCTCCAGTGCTGCCTGGGTAGGCCCTTGTGGCTGTCTATTCATGTCCAGCAAACCCCAAATCAACACAAATGAATGACGCCCTTCGTTTGTGGATATAATGGACATGAAAGGCATTACAGATACGAAGGCAATAAGCTCAAAGCGTCGGCGCCTGACCACAAGACTTCTAGGTCTGGGCTTTCTATTTCCGAGTTGTGAGTTTTAAGGGCCCTCTTTTAGGTTTGTTGTATCCCAACTCTTGGTGCTTCGGTGTTTAGATTTTTCAGACTTCGGGGCCTAGGGTTGCTTAACGCTTTCTAGCCTTGCACCATTCAGAGCCTTCATGGCTTTCATACACGGAAATGATGGCCATTGAAAAAACTTCCCAAACGAACTCCAGAGTTCTTGGGATGTAACGACACAATGTTTGCCAGCATAGGACATGCAGGCCTGAAATCGCCATCTCGTGCTTGCAATCAGCCCGTATTGTCGCCAGCGCCTCTAGTATTAGGTTCCCTGGTCATGGCGGAGTCCGGAATGGCGGCAGGCGTTGATGCAACGTTGTGGACGCATTGCCGTTGATGCGTCCCGAGCAACGCTGGCACCACCAGTGCCTGCAGGCACAGTACAGCTGTAGATCAGTGTTGACAAGCAATGTGGCGCCAATGTGGCGTCAATGCTGATACACGTGTCCCCTGCCGCAGCAATTTTGGCACTGCATAAAAGCCAACGCACATGCTATGTTGCTTCAACGCTTGGTGTAATTCTGGATGGGCGAAAACATTGACAAAAACAAAGGTATCAACGATGATCAAGCCATCCTCGCGACCGAAGTGCAATCAGGTGGTGCAACGATTTGGGGTTGCTAATTACCACAGCTCTAGAGATTGGGCAGAAACTGCCAAGCCAACAAACGTTTGTTGGCTGGACGAGACCGCGGGTTTCGGCAAACTGGGTGCCGCTAGTCACTATTCAAGACCCACCTATTTGCAATGGCATCAAGTCGCCTCCAACTAAGTGACTGTCTCACGTAATTTCGCATTTCAGCTGTTCTCGAGGGTTCCCCCACTCCCGATAAGCTGTACTACACATTCGGCCGCGCACACTTCGCGCGACTCCGCGCTTCAGGCTGGGTCCCCGTCCCCTTCCCCTCCCCCCCCCTTTAAAAGCTCCCCTGGCCCCGTTTCACGGCGACCACTTCGGCCTTGCCAACGCCAACCCCTCCGCCCGTCCGACGGGCTCGAGTCTCGGCAGCGATGCCACGCGGGGCTCAGGTGCGCCGTCCGATGGCCCCAGTCGCCTCCGCCACAGCCTCGCATGACCCCGCGTTACTCCCATTCCCGCAGCCCTGCCCACCCGCACTTGTCTGATTCCGTTGTCTTGGCCGTACTGTTGTGGCGTCCGCCCTTGCCTCCCCCTCTTCCGCAATATGTCCCTTCCTCGTGCTGTCTCAGGCTCCATGCCCTGGATCCAATCCTCCCCCCAACCCCTCGTTGTTCCAATCACCGTCCCAAATCTCCTCACCTGCCGCCGCACAGGCCTCAAATAAAGTCGTTTCCCCCCCAGTTCCACAAACGATGGAATCTGTCGCAAGGCCCCTTGCCCCTCGCTTCCGCGACTCGTCCACGGACCCCCCGGCGTCCAGTTGAGGCTTTAACTCGTTCCTCCCCACGACGCGGCAGGACGCACCCCCTTTGATTCACATATCTAACCCTACCCAAAATCGACGGAGGGCGCAATCTTTCACATATCCCCCGTCCCCCCTCCCCTCCCTGACCCGTACATCCACCCCTATGCGTTCAAGGGGCCTCCCCTCCCCTCCCCTCGCCTGCCGCCCTCCCCCTCGATTATGACTGCGCCCGCATGTTCTGATGGCATGTCCGCCGCTCGCTCGCAGGGGGGCTTCCTGCTAGCAGCCGCGCTGGCGCTGCTGCTGGCCGGCGACCTCTTGGCGACGGCGGCTGGGCGCCGAGGTGGGGATGGCAGCGGGAGGGGGCCGGTGCGGATCGCAATGATCTGTGTAGCCCGCCAGCAGGGGGCGATAGGACATCGTTGGGTCGGGATGTCCTGCTGGTAGTCCGATGTTCAGCGCGGCATGCAGTACGTGTGGTACTGCCGGGGCTGCGAGGAAGCGGTGGCCAGCGGCGTGTGGGTTGGCTGCCGTACGGGTCGCTGCAGCCGGGAGGGGCGGACGTTACGCGGGTGTACGCCGATTCGGGCAACGTGTTGACCGAATCGTGGAAGTTGTCGCACATGGTTGAATGGAGGTCGCATGCATGCCATATGGCGACGTCGCCCGCCGATTTCGTGTTTGCCGAAGCGCGTGGTGACGTGGCTGGGGACGCATTTGCATGGAAATAGTATTACTGCCTGCACCAAATCGGTGACTGCATGCACCAAGTCACGGGCACACTAAGTCCTAACCTCAGTTTTAGGGTCGAGTTTAGGTTTAGGGTGAGTTTCAGGGTTAGGGTAGGTTTAGGGCTAGGTTTTAGGTCTTAGGGTTTAGGTTAGGTTAGTTTTGAAGGGATTGGTGCAAGCAGTGACCGATTTAGTGCAGCCAGTAATTGTATGCCCATTCGCGTGCGTGGCGGGTTCTGCGGGAACAGTCATCGTGCGTCACATCTGGATTCCAACGAGGAAAGCGTGCTGATGTTGGTTGTCATAGCATCCAGGAAACGGTGTGCTGGCTGCAACGGTGCCATGAAACATTTGGAATAACGCTTGGGGGTTTCTTCGTTTGCTGTGCAGATGACTGGATGGTGGGGCCATCGGATGATGCTCTGGTTCGCGAAGACAGAAAGCTGCTTCAAGAAGTGTCGGTGAGCATTGGTACTCATTACGTTGCAGTTAGGAAGGAATGCTGAAAACCAATCAACTCTTTTGTGTGTGCTTCAATTTGCTGCGCTTGCTGTTCGTTTATTAGTCGTGGAAAGCTCCTTGCAGCACTGCCATTTTCGCTGGCACATGGTATTTTATGCAGCACAGAAATGGTTAACGGTTTGCAAGGGAGAATCTAAGCAAAGGTGGTCTCAACTGCTCCACATATGGGGAGAAAATGCTTCAATATCATGTACAGTGGCGTGCTTCTTAGTTTTCGTGGAGCCAGATACGTTTTGACACATGTGAGGAGACTACGGCAAACAGCGAGGAAACGCAAAAGCAAGAGGATATGCTTTCATCAGTATGGCTGTGAAAGGCTACCTGGTTACACTGCTGCGCCAACCTGTGCCAGTTACAGCCAGTTAAGCAGAAATAGTGCAAGGAAAAAGGAGCGATCAAGGGCAAGAGCCTGCCATTGCCGAAATCGCGCTCTTTGGAGCTTCGATATTTCTGGGAACAGACGATTGTTTTGACCATGCTCTCCATAGACAAAGAGCTGCCCAGAATTTGCAGCCACCACAGACGACGTTTTTGGAATCGCGAGCTCTCATTGCGTGCATCAGTGCTCCGCGCGTTTTGCCCTTGTTGTAGAATGAAGGTCGAATCAAGCAAATTGCTCCTCAGTGCTTTCCTGTGGGATTGATTCAGAAAAGGGCATCTGCTCCGTGCGACCGCTTCCCCTACATGACATCCATTCGCGACGCCGCAGGCGTCCATCGCTGTGGCGGTGTGCTGGTCAGGGCGCCGGCCGCCACCAAGAAGGACCCGCCGTTTGTGCTGACGTCCGCGAAGTGCATAGACGACCTGGGCCATTCGCCCATCGTTGTCATCGGCGCCTGCGACCGTGAGCGCACCAAGGTGGGTAAATGCAAGTACTGCAAAGTACTAAGATTTGTTCCATTTCTTCTGAAATTGATGTAACAGGGATTGCTTTGCAGTGCTTGCAAAATGTGTTGCTATTAAATGCACGGTTCATTGCGAATTTGGCAATATAGCGGTAGCCGCAGTTGCGCGTACGGCAAAAAGACGGATACCAACAAGCAGTATTGGATGCGGCTTCATCGAGAATGTGTGCCGTGAAATTTCGCTACGCTATTCTCAGCAAAATCAGTAGGCAAAAAAGCACCAAATAGCAACTTTTTGAACACACAAATATGCACTCCATCAGTGTTCTGCGTGCTAAAAACATGAAAAGAACCCAAATCCCGTAAACTTTGTACACGTTTGAACACGCGTTGTTGGGCCCTTTGTTTCCTAGTGAACGGTACAGCAAACTACTGCGCAGCGCGAAGCTATGTATCCTTGTCCTCAACGGAGCAGAATGAGTCCGCTCAACAGGTCGATGTTGGTTACAGCAGACTAAGCCTTTAAGCAGCTGCTGCGCGTCGATTCAAAAATACCTGCATCAGCTGTCTGCTTGATTTTGAAGGGAGGGGCTGAAGGAAATCTTGTAGAGGACGTTGGAGGCTGCAACTGACTTTCCTCAAATGACGTGGTTTTCTCTTCATCTCGAATCTGGTTGCCGCCGCTTGTCTGCAGAATGCGAAGCAAGAGATACAAACAGTTGCTGTGATGTACCCGACACACGCTGTAGGGTGTCCTGCACTTGAAAGACGACTGTGCTGCTTGACATCTTTATAGACCCGCTCACGAACCCTCGGCGGTGATGGCCGACGCCAACAGGCCATTTGCACTGACTGCCCATGTGTGGTTCCAGATTTTGCTGCCGGCAAGGACGTTCGTCCACGAAGGTTGGACTGGCAACGCCAGCGAAGGGAACGACATTGCGCTGCTATGGATGAGCAAGCGAGTCAAAAGGAAATCCATAGCCTTGTCCGTGAGGTGCGACAGCAGTGCATGGGCCCATGGGACCTTGGAGACGGGATGCATAGCTCGAATCTGCTGATAATTCAGCCAAAATTGACAACATGCAAGGAGTGCAGAAAATGATCATATTAGGTGGTATTTTTAAATGACAAATAGTACTTCGAAATAAAATTTCTAAACAAATAATACTGCTGAAAAATAATACAATTTCTGAATAACGAGGCCGGATATCCGCGCGCGCTGCGCAAGCGCGGTCCTCTGATTAACCCGACGGTGCGGCATCGTGCGGTCGGCTGGACTACTCAGACGTTCTTTGATATTTGTGACACAATGCACGTAATTGTTTAGTATGCTAGAGCCAAATAGAAATGCTATTTGAAGCCTTAGCAAGTAGATGAATGCAAGCGAGTCTCAACATGAGTTGAACATGTCCAATTGCAATGACTTCCAGTCACCAGGATTTGGCGTCTTACGGTCAAGTTTAGAATACCAATTAGTGCATGAAATGGTGCACCAGTCGGTGCATGCACTCGCGCACCAATTGTTGTAGGATTGAACGCAATGATTGTTGTACCAATTTATACATCAATTGATGCACCAATAGGTGCAGTGACTAGTACATGGCAACGAAGGCAGGTTTTGGGCGATGGAACATAATCATTTGGATTGATGTTGTAGGATCCAAATTATGGGTATTGAGGGGATATCGTGCATCAACTCGAGTTGGTGCCTTGTGCACTACACGGTTGGCCTTTATAATGTTTTCTTTTGCACCTTACGAGTAATAGCATTTCAGCGGTTGCTCAAGATCAATATTGTAGAGAATCTACGGTTTGATCGGAAAAAATAGAGGGTACCAAGCGGGCTTCTTTTCAACTAACAACGTTCTATCCTCCTTGGCAACCACAGACTCTGTGGTACAGAGGGGTGCACAGGGTAGGTGCAAGTGGACAACAGATTCTGTGGATATTGTCCATGAGTCGTGATAGATTTTGTTTCTGTTTGTTGTATTTCTGTTTGTTTTGGCTGAGGATTTGCGTTGCAGGTCAGCATCCATTTTACTTTCCGTTCGACGCATTTTTTTCTTGAACGTTTTTTCATCCGTGTTGATCCGGGACATGAGCGTGCGCCCAGGAGCGAGTGCCAAGGAGCGAGCGCGTTGGAGCGCGCCTGTAGCAAGCTGTGCCCATTGGGAAGGGCGAGAACGAGGCCCAAGGCGGGGCAGCCCAGGCGCTGGCTGCCAGCGCCTTGGCTGCCCTGTGATTGACCGCCAATTGACGGGTGCCACAGCAGGCGATCGTCACAGCTAGGCGGTTGGTGGGATCGCCTGCTGTGTTGGCCAAGTTGGGCGCCTCAATTGCCGCTGGGTCGCCTCTCAATCGGAGACTGCGGCTGAGCAGGCGTTGTTGGCCATTTAACGGAACGCGGGCAGCCAAGCTTGCAGAGCGTGGCCGAGCCAACCGTGTGGGGTTTCGTGGCGACTTTGCCCGCCACTTTGGCTGGTCACTGCTGAGCAAACAACGCGCCAAACGCGGGCGTAGACGGTCGTTGGCGCTGGCTGCAACAAAGCGTTTGATTGAAGGAGATGCGGGCAGCAAACACGCGCCAAGATCGTCAGCCATTCCAGCCAAAACCACCAAGCTTGTGCGCTGGTGTTTGGGCTCTTGCCAACCCCTAACACTGACAGCAACCCGGCACTGGCGATCGACTGCCAATTCCGCCCAACACTCCCGGCGGTTGACGGCACTTTTGTTGCTCCTCTCTGACGTCCAGCCGTAAGCACCGCTACACTAAACTCTTCACAAGGCTCCATGTCGCTCTGCCCACGCCTTGAGGCTGCCTTCTGGGCGCGTTTCTTTGTGCTGCTCAGGAGAGGGACACCCACGGCCCCATCGATTGGCACCCTAAACCAACGCGGGTGGGGTGCTTCCTGGGCGGCTGCTCTTGGTCCTTGCGGCCAGCTCGATTGGCAGCTGAATGGCGGGCGCGATGGCAGACAAACACCACAGCAGTGCGTGGCCAAAAGCTGGTTGGCGCTTTGCTAGCAGAAAGCGGCTTGCAGGCCACGGGAGGCACGGCCATATTGGCGCCTCGCAGCCGCCCATTCCCGCTCCCCGCGGAGGCCTGGAATGGCTAGAGCATGCGATGCGAACGGGCGACCGCAAGGTGCCAGACAAGCTGCGGGATTGGCGCCTCATGGGCGCCCATTCCCGCCTCCCGCGGTCGCCTGGAATGGCCCCCGCCGGCCACGCGATTGGGCGTCCGCGAGGCGCGAGAGGCACGGGAGGATGGGCGCCTAACCGGCGCCCATTCTTGTCACCCACGGTCGCCTAGAATGGGGCCCGCCGAATGGTGCGTGTGGGCGTCCGTGAGGTGCCAGATGCGGCGCACGATCGGTGCGTCGCTTGTGCCCAATCGCGCTGCCGGCTTTGCGTTGAAACGGGGCTGTCTGTGGCGCAGTTGGGTGCCCGGGAGCCGCAAAATGCGCTGAGGGATTCGCGCCTTACGGGCACCCATTGCCGGCTCCTGCGGCGGCCTGGAACGGCGTCCGCCGGTCGCGGGAATGGGTGCCCACAAGCCACAAGAGGCGGCGAGCAATCCACGGCCGCCCACGAGTGCGAGCTGCGCAGCCTGATTGGCCCCTTGCAGGGCCCATTCCTGCCACCCGTACCGCTTTGGAACAGTCCCCTCGGGGTGCGTGAATGGGCACCAGCGACTTGCGAGGGGGCTGGGTCGTTCGCGTTTCTTGTGCGTCCGATCATGCCGCCCGCCATAGGCTATTAGAGCCTCCGCGGGCGGCGGGAATCGCTGCCCACAAGGCGCTAGAGGCGCCAAGCGATTTGCCTCCGCGCGGGAAACGTTATTTAGTCGCTGCCTTCCAACGTCAGCATGGAGGCCCCGGACCGGGGCCGGGCCGCGCCGGGCAGGCCCCCGCTAGCCCCTAGCTAGGGGCGAGCCGCGGCCCCCATTGCCCCCCCCCCCCCTCTGCGAAAACGGCCAAGTCGTGGGAGGGGGCACTGGCGATTACCCTCCGCAGTTCCGCTTGGCACAGGGGGCGAACGCCAAGGGTGGACTGTGGCCTCCGCGGGGCCCAAAGCGTGGCCACAAAACATGCCACAAAACGGCGGGAGTGGGAGGCCGAAAGTTGCTTCCCACTCCCACCATTCTGGACCCTCGTGGCCACCGACTGGTGCCACCCGCGGGTACCCGATTGGCACCCGCGAGTGGCACCAGTCGGCGCCCACAGGGGGCCAACGCCAAGGGTGGACTGTGGGCTCCGCGGTGCCCAAAGAATGGCCACAAGCAAACGCCACAACACGGTAGGAGCGGGAGGCCGAACGTGGCCACCCACTCCCACCATTCTCGCCCCTCCTGGCCACCGATTGATGCCACCCGTTGGTGCCAATCGGGTTATCACGGTTGGCAACATTCGGCGCACCCATAAAGCGCCCAAGCGGGAAGCACGCTTCGCCGCGCATACAGCGAGATCCGTTGCAGATCTTGCACCTCCCCCGGCCTCCAGGGGAGGCCCGCTGCCCCAGCCCTTTTGTGGACAGACCACCCGTCCGTTGCGAACCAACCAGCTCGCGAAAACGGAAGCACGCCGGCGCCTCCGTCCGCAACATCGCGGAATCCCCGAACTTCCGTCTACATATTGCGTACAACAAAGGCGGAAACAGATCGCGGAATTCCGTGAACAGAATGGTCGTCCGCCAACCCACGGACCGTTGCGTCTGGATGCATTGCAGCCCCATAAAGCGGTTCGTGGCCCGCCCGTCCGTCTGTGAGTTCCGGAAAGGGCTGTGCCGCCGGGCGGTACCGCGTGCTGCGCTCCTGTGCTCGCGCTCCTTGCCGGGGCCGTGTGCTTGAAGTCGTGAGTGGTGCGCCTGGAGGCTAAACCCCACAGGCGGCGAATTGCAACGCCAATGGCGCCCCCCGGGCCAGCCGCGACCACGGCCATGGGTGTCGAGGTGCGGAACTGGGGAACTGGGGAACTGGGGAACTGCGGAACTGCGGAGGGGAGGCGCCAGTGCCACTTCCCACGACTTAGCCGTTTTCGCAGAGGGGGCGCACGGGGGGCGCGGCTCGCCCCTAGCTAGGGGCTAGCGGGGGCCTGCCCGGCGCGGCCCGGCCCCGGTCCGGGGCCTCTATGCTGACGTTGGAAGGCAGCGACTAAATAACGTTTCCCCCTCCGCGCCGCCCACGGTTTTCTAAAACTGCCTGCGCCAATGTGCGCGACCTGACTCGCCCCTCCTGGCCGCCCATTCCCGCCGCCCGCCGCCGTGCTGGCCACTCCCCGCTCCGCTCTGTGCCGTAGTTTCCAAGGCCGGTCGGCCCATGTTCCCTTGGCTCTCGGGCGCGTCTGGCACTTTGGGTCCGTAGAAGCGCCCTTTGTCATCGGTTGACACAAACCTCGTTCCAGGTCGACTTGTTCGCGCGACCGCAAGTCGCCTGGCTCGCGCCACGATGCGCGCTTCGCTGCAGATGCCGGCAAACCTCGCTCGGCGCTCAGGGCGAGAGACGCCAATCGCCACGACAAAAAGTTGGGTTTCTCTCCCATGTGCACGGCGCCGGCGTGGCAGGGCGCAGCGGGGTGTGATGGCGAAGGACTTTGAAAAATCCGTGGCAGGGCCCGCTGTCGACGCGGCCAGGGGCTGCCGCAGTGCTTTGCTGCAGTAGTGCATGCACGCACGTCCGACTTGCCTGCCGAAAATTTTAAATACCGTCGGGTTAATTAATAATGTAAGAGAAATACAATAATGTTGTATTTATTTTATATCTGATACATCTCTGTTCTCATGGCAATTGTTTGCGTTGCAGCTGTCACTAGGAAGGAAAGGACCAAATAACACTTTTTGCAAAAACGTCTATACGCATTTCATATTGTTTTGCATGCTGAAAACATGGAAATAACTCAAACCCATAAACTTTGTACACTTTTGAAGACGTTTCATTATGTCCTTTTCTCCCAAGTGTGTTGCATCAAGCAAATCCAGCAACAACGCGTCGGCCTTGCAAGTGTGCGGGGGACGTCTCAATCATCATTTGGTGGCGGCTTTGCGTGCTTCATACATTCTCGGGGTCTCGTATGCCATTGCTATAAGGCCTCTACCAGAAGACATCTTCCAGCAAGACAGAACAGGGTCACTACATATATATGCAAGATATATCTTACATATTTCCCTTACATGATTTATCGCATACCGCACTTTGAAAATATGTGTCACACTTTGTTTTCAAACTCCAAGCACTGCATCTGCATTAGCGCGGATCACAGTCTGTCTCGGCAATTTGGATCCACGAACTGTGGTCGATTACGGTCTGGTTGATTTGCAACCCGGCGGCCTTGAGACGAATCGAAAGACTTGGGGAAGGGACGCCTTGAAAAGCCCATGGGACTCGACATGGCCAATCCTGCTGAGTACTGAATTCACCTCTTGAGCGTTAACCGTGCTATGTATTCAGCCGCAGCCAACAAGAGGTACAAATTTTGAAAGGCTTCCTCAGGTTTGAGGCCCCTAAATTAGGAGAGGCGTTTGCCACCCTGGAGTGGGGAACTGGCGAAGGAGCCAAGCCGTCGGATGTCTTACTAATATCTTCGGACCTCCGATTCGTCTCCAGTGAAGACTGTTCCTCTCAGGACTCGTGGGGCGACACGATAACAGAATCTATGGCGTGCTTCTTTGGAGGCACTTTTGGACAGGACACATGTCCAGGTACTGCCTGATCTTTGCCGCTCTGGTGCTTTGTGAATCCTCGCAAATTGGGCAAACGTTGGGATGCCACGCCCAGTGCGCTGCTAGATAAACTGGGTGTGCGTGTGCGCCGAGTGACCTCGAGGGCGCTGAATGGTCTGTGTTCGTATCGCGACGATAATTCAGCATTTCATACCTGAGCCAGCCATGACATCATCGCTGTCGAGGCCGCGGCCGTGCTAAGTGCATGCCAGGAGGCCATTAACTGATGGCGTGATGGTCAGCGCGGAACAATTGTTGCACGTGCCTATGAGCGCCCAAGCAAACATAAAATGCAAGCGGGATCAGAATAGGGTGCGGCGCGGTAAGCAGCTTATTCAGCATAGCCCAAGTTGACAATTGCTTGTCCCAAAAAATCTGTCCGCGCAGGTCGAACTGGTGGACCACTGCTGCGTGCTTTTGCCCCCGGAGGCGATATCGACGATGGGCAGCCCCAAGGCGATACGCTGCTCGGACTGGCGTCTTTTGGAGACGAAAGCGGCAGCTGTGGGGAGGAGAAGCTTCCCGTCGTGTACACGACAGTTGCGAGCCATATTGAGTGGATCAGGGAAAAGATGGCTGAGGTATTTTCTGTGGTTTTGTTCATTCTGCTATTCAATCCACGATGGTATGCACTGCTTAATAGTGCACTGTCGTCCGAAGAGCATGCTGGTAACTTTTGTAAATGGAATATGACCGTTGCATTCACATAAACAGATATGTAAATAAATAAAAACGTGCATCTGAATCCTTATCAATTAGCTTATTGTGATTGATTATTTATTTATTTTGTTTGTGCGATGTGGTCGCTGGCGCACATGGACACACACGCGTCGATCGGTATTGCCCTTCACGAGTCCAAAACCAACTGCTGCGTGACGTAAGCATTTTCATCCTCCTGGCACCTGTGACAATGGCGAAGCATAGCTGCAGCCCTTGTTGCTTTATTGGCTCTAAATGTTCTCGCACATTCACTTGATGAAGACCTGAATTGAAGGACACTGACCACTGCTTCCCAATGAACACCAAAATATTGGCGAATGCACTAGAGCTGATGCGGGTATTGCACGTTGTGCAACAGCCGGACAACGTGCACTTAGATTTGCCAGTCTAAACAAGCATCATTGCACAACATCGCATCCTCGTACAAAGGCGAGGCGGACGCGGTGCTGGGGGCTGGGGGGTGGGGGGTGGGGGGGCGCTGGTGTTGTGCATAGTGCAACAAACGGGAAGCGTACAATTAAATGTGTCAGTTTCAACAAGCACCGTTGCGCGCTATTTGTGTCTGCATTACTGTGTGCCCATATGTGCGATGGCCGAGGACCTTCGAAGAAGAACAATTTATCATGTACCGTAGATTCGGAACGTGGATGCATGGGCGATTATCGCAAGAACATTCGCACCCAGTCTCCTGAGCAGCATGTGCCTGATGGAGCAGCCCAATCACGATTTTGTTGTCAATGGGCGAGGTCCAAATATATCTTGTGGTGGCAGTCGTATAACTTGGAAGCGCCGATGATTGACACAGCTTTTTCCTCGCGGTTAGGCAACAGGACAGAAGCTGGAACAACCAAGCACATCCGCTGGTGCTCCCTCACCGGTGAGAGACGCTCATGTGTTCTTATCCCATCTTTTCGATCGAGTGTCTTCGTGACTTGCATATTTCTCAGCACTTTACATTAGTCCTATCTTCTTCGTACTCCCACTGAAACGTACTTCGAATCCTTCTATTGTACCATTGTCATGTGCCGAATCTGCATCTTCTCTCGGTTCTGTGAAATGGTAAGAATCTGAAGAAACCGCGCAGTGGCAAATGTGGAGTTCTGTTATGGTACGGATCAAGATATTGACAATGAGTGGGAACGCGAATTGTGTGGAGGCAATCAGTGCATATCAGCAGAGATGCGTCGCGTTCTATCTAACTCTAGGGCAATGGATATTTGGAAACAGATGGTAAGGGATGAGAAACCTAAAGGCGTAGAGAATCCGGGACTTGAAATCTAGAGATTGTTCCGCTGCCCAAAGGGCCAGCTCCGATGGTCCATGCTACCTCCAAACTTCTGCATATCGCTAGATTGAGACAAAAATTTCCATCCATATGATCTATGGGATTTGAAACCTGGATCTAACACATGCCTATCTGCCAAAAGATGACGTCACCCGCCGAAGCTCCACTCGCTGAGGCACCAGCCGAGCCACAGGACTCAAATTCGGTAAGTAAGCGAAATTCCTTTCGGGTGTAACATTCAATATTCGTGCGATCCCGGGAGAAGTCCCTGTGTCGTTGTTCGCTGCAGTCTTGTGAATGCTCCTGTCGAAGATTCGCTTCCGACGCCACCACGGTCTATTTTCCTGGGCGCAAAACGGCGTAATGTAATCCTTCATTTATTTTAGCGCGAGAGAGATTCACTGCACTTCGCCGCTGCACTTCATTTCGTTGCCCTAAGTTGTTCTTCGTCCCTTCTTCGTTCCCTTCTTCGAAGCGTTAAGAATATTCATTTGTGGATGCCGGGTACTGTAGATGACACTGGGGGTTTTGGATACTGTCTTTTCCTTCCGGAGGGCTGTTGCTTGATGCGTACGCCCCAACTGCTCTGAGGCGGGACACAATGGCTCTAAAAAGGCGACCAACATTGGGTTTTCACGGATTTTGAAGACAGTATTGTGCGCGATAGATATGATGCGCGACCATGCGTCGAGCATTATGCGTGTGGCCTTGATGCACCATGTCTCCATCAATCTTTGCAGGAAACTCCTTCCGGATGCCAAGAAGGAGACGCCTTCCGGGGCGGCGGCATATCGGGCTCCTACCGCGTGGAAGGCAACAGCTCCACCGGGTCGCTGTACGACGGCATCGTGACCATCGGCGTCATCAGCGAGGGCCAGTACAGGCACTCCTGGTACCTGGGCACCTCGAACTTCAGGGGCATCGCCACGCTGGAGGGCGACGTGGCCACGGTCGATTGGGGCAGCACCTATCCAGTAGTTTATCATGTTCAGTGCAACGGGAGTATGCTCGGCACGTGGGACAACGGTGGGGCCACGGAGAACTTGTTCCCTGTGGATTGTCCAGAAGAAGATCCTGGAATTGGAGGAGCATATGTGCTGGAAGGGAAGGACGCCAATGGGAACTCATATGACGGTGTTACTACTGTTATGGAGGAGGCGCCGGGGGAGTACCGGATGAATTGGAAGATGGTCTCCTGGGACGAGGAGACGGGGCGGACTGGCGTTGCGACTATGAAGGGGAATGCACTGCGGGTAGATTGGGGTAAGGAGGATGGCGCCTCTGCTGTGTACGACAGGCACTGCGAGAAGGGGGTATTTTTGGGCAGGTGGGCGGGCGGGAATGGGTCAGAGTCGCTGGCGCCGTCGAAATGTCCCGATGACGTGGGGAAGGATCTTTCTGGAAAGTATGACGTCACTGTTGTGAATGTGAAGGGGAAGGTGCGCAAGGGGAATGTGAAGATGGAGTTGGGCGGGGGAGGGGAGTACGCGCTTGTCAGATCTATGAAGGGGGCGAAGGCGGAGGGCATTGGGAAGCGGGTGGAAGACAGGATGGCGGTGGAATGGAGCGAGGGCCCGGCGGGTACTTATGCCGTGGACTGGTGCCAAGGCCATTTGCTAGGCGTGTGGGGGGACGGGACAGGCTTCAACGTGACATTGGAGCATTTGTCACCTGCAGTGTAGGCACGGACGCTACTGGGCAGTCGTAGTGCGATAGTGCGTGTAAAATTCTAAACTTCCGAGCGCGTTGTATACGACGGCATTTGGTAATGTCAGCTTTGATGCATAGATTTATTCTGCACTGACATGCACGTGAAAAGTTCTAGTATTCATCTTTTGAAAACTGACCACAGTCACACACTTTCGAACAGAGTTCCGGCGCCGGTCTGCGGCCGCTTTGTTTTCTAGATTCTGTTTGCGCAAACGACTTCAAAATAACCTATGACGGGTTGCTTTAGAATTAATGCAACGCCAGGAATGTATTTGAATCTGTTTGCTAATATGGGCAGCAAAATCTCTACGACAATGGCTAATATTTTGTTCAGCGTCTGTGGTGTTCAACGGAACCTATCACATGAGACCCAACCAAGGTCGGAATTCAGAACCTTTTGCTAATCGAGCGCCACTACAAGTCGTTTTGAATTTTTAAGACAAACACAATTATGGTACAGCTGCGTTCACATAGCTAAGTCTAAAGTCCATAAACATGCAAGCTTACCCTAAAAACATTCTTTGATCGGGATTAGTACCGCTTTGACTTAGAGGACATGAAGAACACCAACGGTTAATCGACTGACTGCTTCAATGCCGCAGCACGATATTCTTTGCTCTCGCCTGTTAGGCACTTGTTGGGTACAAAGTCCTGGCCGAGGGGTTTGAATGCCTAATTTATATTGTGTTTGACTGGGTGCGGTGTCTCTTCGTAATTGTAAGCTTCATGGCAAAATCGGTGACCAATTGTGTAGAAGACATCTAAAGACAAGCAGGGTATTGATTCAACATTCATGGACATTGCTTCAACGAGCCTGCTGATGCACTTGTATAAGCATCCTTGCATTGCGCCCTGGGCGCCATCATTCCGGCGCAACTTGTTCCACAGATGCCATTGATCAATGGCATGAATAGATTGAATCGCAACGTCAGGGCGTCGGCAGTTCATGGATTTTGGCAATCTGGCCAGGGGCACCAAACTATTACCGCATTGACAACAAAGGCCGGTACATTGCAATGGCTGAGCGTTGACTAGTAATGCATTAGCAGACTCGCTATGGCAATGACCATCCAAGGCCGTCCACATCTCTGGATGTAGGGCTGTGCGAGACATCACAAATGAGGCAGAAACACCTGCATGCCGCTCATAGCATTCCTGCCCCACATCAACATTATTTAGGAATAATAAACGAACACTAGTTTAAAGCAGCTTCGCGAATTCATAGTACAAAGCTGTGTCCACTCCAACTGGCCTAATTCCACGGTTTTCCCACCGCATCTAGACTTCACAGACTGAGATACAACAGATAGATAGATCTGGCTGTTAGACACGCAATATGTCCTGGAGACAGCTATCTAAAAACAGATTAGGGTGTCCTACAAGATGTGGACTGATATTGTGAAATGCCCTGGACAAAATTTTCCCATCTGTTCTCTTGGAGAACAGAACGCCTCGGTATACACTCGCAAGATGGCCATATTCCGAGATAGAAACATCAAGTTTTTCGACTGTGGACCTGACAATTTCTGAGAAGGGGCACCTGTCAGATGGTGGGAATATGGCTTTGTGCTGTCAACCAAAGCGCAAAAAAAATTGGTAAGAATTCCACCATTTTACACTATGTACAGTTGTGTGAAATCGTGGTGAAATCTTGTAAAATCGGGCACTTTGGAGCGTGATTCTACACGATTGCTGAAATCGTGTATTTTTTCAGCCCTGTGTTGTGCACGAAAGTGGCCCACCTTGCCACTATGGACAACGCGATAAAGAACACGGCTTTACGCTGTCTGAACCGTGCAGCAGCTGCAGCCGTGTACTTTGTCATCATTACACGATTGGTACAAGGGTACTACACGATTTTTACACAGTACACGATCTTCAGGACCGTGTGCTTTGGCCGATGTTTAGTTAGTGGCTTGTACTTCAGGATTCCAGTTTGGAACACTGCACATCGGCTTGTTTGCACGCCGTTTGCCATTCCAGCGTACATTATTGACTCGTGAGGATGGAAATGCACTACATAGCAGGTTTAGCTTGAAGGAAAAAAATATAATGCCACATTGCATGGGCCATTGACGAATGAGTTCACTGATGAACGCTCCATTGCTTCGAGCTCAAGAAGCACCCAAAAGTCCCAACAAAGACACTTAAACAGTGACTTCTACATTGCACATGCAACGGTATTGAAACATGATTCCTTTGCAAAGCGCTGTCGCCGTCTTCTTGAATCGAGCGTTGGTCCATCAAAAGCCTCTTTCAGCTCAGCAAGCTCCGAATCTCTTCAGCTGTTGATGGCAAATCGCAGCCACCTTTGGGGCACGCAATATCTCCAGTGCTGCCCTCGAAAAACTGACAACCACACACCGACTCCAGCGCCGTTGCTCCATGGTCGTCTTTGATCGAAGAATCTGCCCCTTCTTTAATAAGCTGCTCAACCATCCCCAGATTCCCAAAATACGCAGCCCACATCAAGGGCGTCTGCCCATCCCCTCCTCGCGCATCCAAGACCGCGCCGGCGTCCAGCAGAGCATCAACGATTCGCTCGCTTGAATTTCCCAGTTGAGCAGCAGCAAAATGCAGAGCCGTGTCGCCATTGGCCCTCTTTTTCTTGGGATCTGCTCCCGCTTTGATCAAGGCTTGCACAACCAGAAAGTGGCCGTGCTCTGCTGCTGCCATCAGAGGAGTGCTGCGCTTGTTGGTCCCGTGATCCGGATTGGCTTTTGCAGCCAGCAATACTTTAACCACATTCACATGCCCGTTTCGGGATGCCACATAAAGTGGAGTTGCGACGACCTCAGAAGAGTTCCCGAAAAGACTATACTCAAATTCTGCATCCGCTCCGGCCTCCAGAGCCATTTTTGCCATTTCCTCATCCCCATCTCTGGCAGTCTCCCAGAGTATCTATATGACATAGCGAATATCAAAATTCAGCCTTTTGGAAATGAAGCAAACACATGACATACTCACACTCCAGAGGAGGCGTGGGGTGGGGTGGAGCGGGGTGGGGTGGAGGTGGGAGTGGGGATAATAATGGGGGGTTTTAGTAATACGGGAGAGGAGGAGGCTTACAAAATTTCGCTATATGCAGTAGCTACTGCAGACGCAACACCAAACGTCCAGAATTCGTTTGTATGCCAAATCCGCATATGCATTCCTGTAGTTGCCACCCAAAACAAATGCAAACTTCCATTTCTGATGCTACAGAAGCTACGATCTGGAGCGACTGCCATTAAGTGCTGCCAGCAATACTCAAAACAGCCGTTTAGAAAGATGTCGTCACCTGGTGAAACCCCTGTTGTGTTGCCACAGTGGCCTGGAAAAACAGAGCATCGAGTCGTGCATGAACAAAGTAGCTGTGCACTCGGTAATGGTTACAACAGTAGCAACAATCGTAGTAAAAGTAAGAATAATATATATTAATCAACTGTGTTTTGAACACAACAGCTCAATGGGAAGTAACGTGATAGGCTGAAACACGGTTTCTTCAGAATCGCCAACCACAGGAATGCAGGCGTACAGTGTATAGTTTTGTTTCGTTGGTCAATGCTATGGACACAACAAACATGAAAGTACCCAATTTGCAGCCAGAAGTTGAAAACACGCGGCCAAGGAATCGAATCTGCACATATATACGTGTCTCGGAAAGTGGCAAAAATGTGCAGCACACCGTTTTCTTCTCCTTCAAGCAAAGGGAATAGCACATTCATAACACGAGTGGCACTTCCCAAACAACAACTATTTCCATACTACACATACATGTCATGTGGGCAGCACCAAATTTGTCGGGTTATTTCCTCGAGCAGAAATAAACGTTTATCGATAGTCCAGTAGCATGCAAGCTACAAAACTGATGTGGATGAAAAGTTAGAATGTTGCTAGCACCAAATCAACGCAGCTGATGCACAAATGATATCCAAATTGCACTAACAAGAATATGAAGTCTTGTGGTATCGCTACATTTTGAGGGTTTGGTTGGGGCGAAGGCGGAGCTGCTGATGACTGTGCAGGGACGGGTGTTAACGCAAATGGCACTTCTGCAGTCGATGGTGGTGATGACGCTGTTGGAGGTTCAAAGCGGAGTGGAGGAATGCTGTCCGGTTCAGCAGCGAAGGAAGCCTGCATAGAATGCAAATGTAAACAAGGCCTAAATTGCTCAACATACTTCCTCTTCCTGAGATTAATTGTCTTCTATGACTTTTGAGCACTACTTCTCTGAGTTGTTGTTGGATATCCACAACAATTCTCAATGAAATTTCACCCCAAGTTGTGCTTGTAAGCTTGGAGCATAGGCTCAAAATTTCATGTCAATTCATTGAGCGATTATGTTTCGTTGGCCAATTCAATGCCATGGAGACGACAAACATGAATGTATCCAAGTTGCAGCCAGAAGTTGAAAAAGCACGAACAAGGAATCGAATCTATACATATGTATGCATTTCACAAAGTGGCAAAAGACGTGCAGCACACCATTTTCTTCTCCTTCAAGTAAAGGGAATAGCACATCCATAACACGAGTGGCCCTTCCCAAACAACAAATATTTGCATACTACACATACATGTCATGTGGGCAGCACCAAATTTGTTGGGTAATTTCCTCGGGCAGAAATAAACATTTATCAATAGTCCAGTTGCGTGGAAGCTACAAAACTGATGTCGACGAAAAGTTAGAATGTTGCTAGCACCAAATCAACGCAGCTGATGCACAAATAATGTCCAACTGGCACTAACAAGAAAATGGAGACTTGTGGTATTGCTACATTTTGAGGGTTTGGTTGGGGCAAAGGCAGAGATGCCAATGACTGCGCAGGGTCGGGTGTTACCGCAGATGGCACTTCTACAGTCGATGGTGGTGATGACGCCGTTGGAGGGGCAAAGTAGATTGGAGGAAGGCTGTCCGGTTCAGCAGCAAAGGAATCCTGCATAGAATGCAAATGTAAACGAGGCCCAAATTGCTCAACATACTTCCTCCATCCGAGATTAATTGTCTTCTATGACTTTGGAGCACTAATTATCTGAATTGTTGTTGGATATCTACAACAATTCTCAATGAAATTTCACCCCAAGTTGTGCTTGTGAGCTTGAAGCATAGGCTCAAAATTTCATGTCAATTCATTGAGCGATTATGTTTCGTTGGCAAATTCAATGCCATGGAGACAACAAACATGAATGTATCCAAGTTGCAGCCAGAAGTTGAAAAAGCACGAACAAGGAATCGAATCTATACATATGTATGCATTTCACAAAGTGGCAAAAGACGTGCAGCACACCATTTTCTTCTCCTTCAAGTAAAGGGAATAGCACATCCATAACACGAGTGGCCCTTCCCAAACAACAAATATTTGCATACTACACATACATGTCATGTGGGCAGCACCAAATTTGTTGGGTAATTTCCTCGCGCAGAAATAAACATTTATCAATAGTCCAGTTGCATGCAAGCTACAAAACTGATGTGGATGAAAAGTTTGAATGTTGCTAGCACCAAATCAACACAGCTGATGCACAAATGATGTCCAACTTGCACTAACAAGAAAATGGAGACTTGTGGTATTGCTACATTTTGAGGGTTTGGTTGGGGCAAACGCAGAGATGCCAATGACTGCACAGGGTCGGGTGTTACCGCAGATGGCACTTCTGCAGTCGATGGTGGTGACGACGGCGTTGGAGGCTCTGAGGGGGGTGGAGAAATGCTGTCCGATTCTGCCACAGCAGATGAGGAACCCTGCATATAATGCAAATGTAAATGAGGCCCAAATTGCTCAAGATATTTCCTCTGTCCGAGATTAATTGTCTTCTATGACTTTGGGGCATTGCTTCTCTGAATTGCTGTTGGATATCTCCAACCAGATGTCTACAGCCAATTCTCAATAAATTTCACCCAAAGCTGTGCTCGTAAGTTTGGAGCATTCTATCAAAATTTCATGTCACTTCGTTGGGTATTGAGGATTTGGCAGTACTTTGTATTCAGGGTCTTTTTACCTAGTAAACGTCGGCATCTGGGGAAAAATGACCAAGGCCCCAATTATTCGCTTCTGTGTACAAAAGATCGCATGCCCATTGACCTTATTCTATCTCTATCTCTATCTCTATCTTGTCTTTGTCTTTGTCTTTGTCTTTGTCTTTGTCTTTGTCTTTGTCTTTGTCTTTGTCTTTGTCTTTGTCTTTGTCTTTGTCTTTGTCTTTGTCTTTTACTTTATCTTTACAAATCCCCCCACCCCACCCCACCCCACCCTGCCCCGCCCCACCCCACCCTGCCCCGCCCCACCCCACCCCCACCCCTTTCCAGCCTTAGCGCCCCTTGTTCACCAAGGTAGAAAACTTCAAATAGTGTCTTTCCTAAATGACATTGAACAGTCACAACCAAGCCATCATGTGCCACCACATGAATTTGCAACAGAATTTGCAACAGCAATGCTGGTTCACTGGCCCATTTGCAATAAAGGCGCAGCCCATTGGCCAGAATGAAGTCTCTCTTCTGCATGAAATAAAAGTGGCAATATTCAGTGCATGGGATATTCTTTAGCTCATGCAAGGGTCCATAAGATCCATTGCGTGTCCAGTATGCGGTTGTTCTTCCGTGATTCTCCACATTCGTCACTTTAGAAAGGTAGTGAATTCCGCGACGCATCAATGCGGCTATGACAACATTACGACGTGACTTGGAAAACGATTGTAGATATCAACAGAATCGAAAAAAGTCGTTTCCGAAACATGAAACGATTTGCGACTGGTGTATTCCTTAAAATTTGCCTGCGTTTAGAATAAAAGAGAAAAATAGGCTCGGCGAGTTTCCAAATTTGCTGCTGGAATTGTTCGTTCCACAGTTACAAGGTACGTAAAATGTCAATGCTGCAAAACTATAACAACTCTAAGAGTTGTGTGCACAAGTGTGTTGGGAGAATGGGCGCAGTACCAAAGTATTGAGTACTAAGCACTAAGTACCTTTTTTATAGAGGAATGTTCTGTTTACTGAACGCTGTTATGTTACTTGTGGTCTTGTTGTCACCTACGTGATTCAGCTGTCATGGCCAGCATGCTTATATTTTGCACAATGGGCAGCCTGCATTCTGCAGTACACAAATACACCAATCGACATCTTTAAGGAAACCAGGATGGAGTTGCAACAACGTTGGCGGACCTTCCCACAACGAACTTGTTGACGGGCTGCCTGTCAGCGTCGCTTCAATGCCCATGCATGGATGTCTTGCAAGCAATAATGGCCATAATATTGACGAACTTGGCCATTGACAGGTGTTAGAAATCATGCCCCATTGGCATCAGTGGCATTAGGTGTAAAAGGACGATGGGGTGATGATGCGCAAGGCTTGTAGGAACATTGACAGAAAGCACATCAACAAACTTGCTGTAGAAAGGCCTGCCAACGTTGCTAAGCTTCATCCTGATTTTCGGATATCAAATGTAAATTTCTGCATCATGCTGTTTACACACAAGTATTTCATCCCTCCATACTGTGATTATACAATTCATTGAACAACATTTCACACATGCACCACAGGAATAGTTTGAAATATATAATTCCATTTTAGGGATTTGTGGCTCTTGCATTTTGGACTATCTGCCCATGGGCTTATGGTCCACAGCATCGGCTAGCGCACGGTCTCCTGAAGATCCCAGAAAACATTGTTTCGGTATTTGGGGGGACAAATAATCAAATATCACCAGTAAAGTAGAGCCCATTCACACAGGTTCTAATTGTGCTACGTGAGATGGAAGCGTGCATTAAATACATTTAAAATTCAAATGCATTGAAATGCATTTGAGTTTTGAAACATGCTAAAATGAGGGCCAAAGTGTCGCCCCAACCATGATATTGATGTCGTTTCCATCCGTATAATATCAATGCAAAGGCTTACAAACATAAGCGCCAATAGCGTAGTACAGAATTTACTACTCAATATACTCAGTATTTGCTCAGTATGAGTAAATACTCAGTACAGAATTTCAACACGTCACATGCCTACAATGCGAGAAAGACGAATGCCTGCTGAGCGATTGATCACCAATACCTCACCTGAATGACGCCATCTATCCACTGACGATAACTGCTGAGCCTTGTGAACACGCTGGGTAGCATGTTGTCAGGGCAGCTGACACTCCCGCCAAATGACGTGATGCCAACAGCGATGTCGAGGGCGGGCCTCCCAGCAGAGATGCTGTTAGAGGGGGCAAAGGCTTCAAGGGCCGGGCTCCCACTGTCGCCTGAAGAAGCAGAATGGGACAAGAGCGAGGACCAGCACATCGATTTCAAATATAGATGAATGCAGAGGTATAATTTTATATTAGAATACAATGGAATCAATGGAATTAGAAAATGTTCAAATGAGCATGCAAACGGACATAAATGAGTCATACACGATTGCATTTGGAGGAGGCGGCGCCCGATCCTGCACCCTTACAAGAAGGCCGCCACCAATCCAGTCCGGGCGAGCTTTCCACGAAACGACTGAATGAGTGGAACAATGCAGTGCAACATGACTGCTGCACAATCTTAATTGCGACTCCAATCAACCAAGTCGCCACAGCGCAACTGCCACCCTCTCAGCGAACCATTCTGCATCTTTGCAAGGCATTGAATGAAGCTGTCCAAAGCCAGGTGTGCAGCCCAAATCACAATATCCGAAAAGTCAGCATCTAACAGATAGCCCACGCACCAGAGCACACATCCTGGCCCGCCGGACTGAACACGCACAGCATGGAGTCGACGATGATGTCTCCCCAAACATCGTCCATGCCACAGACATTGTTACTCACGGTCTCCAGCCTGTCAGCCAGCTGCAGCTGCGATTCTGAGCCCCCGCCCCAGCCCAGCACTACCAAGTTGGTGTCCCCCTGCAACATGTGGGAGGCGGTGGGCAGGTTGACCGGAGCAAACTTGGACTTGACCTGCAGCTTCAGCAGCGCGATATCATATCCGTCTGCCACTTCGCCGCTCCACTTCTCATGGATGATGGTCCGCTTAGCAACACTCAACTTGAACCAGGAGCAAAAGTGTGAGTAAACAATCAAATGAATCGACAATGAGCTGAAGAATGGATCAGCACCCAAAACAATCGGGCAGATAAGGGAACAGATACACAAATAAACGATAAACAACAAAAAGTGGTAAATCAATAAGCAATAAAGTTGAATCGTATGTATCTGAACCAACAAACCAATAATCAATGGATAAGCATAGGGGTTCACTGGGCAAAAATTCAAGTGGATGGGCAAATTAGTTGATTTCGCATAAGTGCATGATTTAGCCCCAACGGTTTTCCATGCAGTGCTGTCATTCAACAAATCAGTGTGAATGTTCAGTCCAATGCCTGATCCAATATTGAACCCATAGTTGGATCATATGCAATCCCGGTATGTACTTCAACACAGCCAATTTTCGCATTGTTTATCGTCCGGTCACAACGACCTGCACACTTTGGCTCAGCACTCTGCCGACAAAGCATGGCCACACAACTTCAGCTCCACTCAATGCTTGTAGCTGCTGCATCAGCTGGTTGGCCTGCTATTGTAGAAACTATGCTCTTTACAGTATTTCCACTCTTCTCAATTATCCAGTTTCGGTTACTGCACTGCTCAGCAGTCAAGATGGCCATCTGGGAACCAGAGTCTATATATTACTGGCATTACGTTTTTGGATATTATGTTTATTGATGCCATACATTATGCTCATTATATACGCTAATATCAATTCACTGGTTACTGTGGCTTTAAAGCAACGAATAACATTGCTTAAGCAGTTCTTAATTATCTTCGTATTTTCCACTCTCCTCAACAATGATATTTTCACTGATTGTGTCGCTCAGCGAATACGCCCCAAGTATTGTTTAGGGTTCATCACAAAAACGCTAGTTCATATTTCAACATTCCATTTATTCATCAACAATTTATACCCTTAGATTTGTTTTTCCCTATCTTGCACTGTGTCATTTCCACTCCTGCAGCAGTCCATGCTCGCTCTCAATGTTGCTGAACTGCACGCTCCAATGACTATACCAGGCTCACCAAAGGAATGCTTCCTATCATTTCCTGCTCTCATTTCCTACGGTTTACTTGCACTTTTGCTCAGTCATTTTGCCCATCAACTCTAGCATTCCGTTCATTTATTAATTCTTTTATCACATGCCAGCTTTCCTTCGTATACCACAAGCAACCCTTTGAACAGAACTGCCACAAGATTCACTGCCTCATAATACTCGAAAGCATGATACCAGATCATTCCCACTGACCTCAACCACACCGTTTTCGTTCATTTCGTCGTTCAGATTGCATGCCCTCACGTGTCTGTTGTCTCTTCAGCGGAGCGACACCATGTAGGGAAAGCGCCCGCAGGGTGCACTTTGTCCACCCTGAGGGGCACAATTTTGGTTTGATGATAGAAACTAAAGTGACAGAAGATCAAAAATGGAGAGTGCACAAAAACACATATATGGAAAGAAGGCAACTGCAACCCATTTTGCTGTTTTAGGAAAACAGCTAAGGAAAGCCTCAGCAATTGTGGGCACAATTCACAAAATCAGCTTCTTTCAGTTCAGATGTGCGTTTTGACCATATTGGAAAGCGAGTAAAATGTCAATGAAAATTTGTATGTTCTCATATGTTAAGAATGCAGATAAAGGCGAGAATTTTGATGCTTTCTCCACTATATTCAGATAACTTGGTCCTTAATTGGACTGCTGTCCCATAGCCTCCAATCAGTGTTCTGGGCTCTTTGCTAAAAACTTGCCCTCCCCATTGTATAGGTATTCAATTTGAACACAAAATGCCACCTCACCTGATTATGCAGAGGCCTCTACAAAGAGCTCACAGAATGTTCTATTTCACTGCACACTTAACCGTGACAAATAACTGGCACTAGCTTGTGAGCTTGCATGATTTAAATAACTAACTTATTTGCATTTCTATCATTGCACTTGGTTTTGTCCATTTGTTGGCCACTGTGATATACCACCCATGCTTGAGCATCCACGATGGCAAACACACACCACAATTAATGCAGGCGCCTGTGTTCTCTGAAGAAGGTGTCTGGATTGCCCGTTTTCTTCAGAACGATTCCCACTTTGGATAGCTACAACAACACACCAGAAATCAGGCCAGCTGTGCAAAGTGTCAAAGGCAAGTTTGCAGTCATTGCACAGATTTTGCATGACAAAACAGCAAGGAATTGCAAATGCATGAAGACAGTAATGCAACAAACACATTTGTAAGAACAAGAAGTAAGTTGCCACTTTGGCTGAATTGGTATCTATTCACAAGTCATTTGAATGGCACTAATCTGGTGCAAAGCGTCGATTGGAGTATTAAATATGGGACATCATTTGCCCTCAATTTGCCTACTATTGTGTCAAATAAACCTCTCAACTGAGTGTACACTAAGTAGTGATTCTAAGAGCCTTCTCCTTCCCATATTAATCATCATCTATTTCAAAAAATGTTTCTGTTATGAAAATGGCATCTGAATTAACAAAATATCTAGAATTGGAAAGATTGGGTCTCAAAACCCTTATTTTCCAATTTCAAGAAGAAAAGATTAGCCCTCCCCCAAGTGTGGCCTTTGGAAATTGTCCTGGTTTGGTGCGAAAATGCCTGTTCAGATTCCACATTCCTAGAGACCCCTTAAGCCTGGACCACTTCCATGCTTGCAAGTGGCAACATCAGTCGTTGCCATTGTCATAGCTAGCGGGGCACACAGCACGTGGCATAGCTCTTGCCAAACCCACTCAACCATACTTGCATCCTTCTTGATGGTGACCATTGTCGTGGCAGTAATGATGCTGGAATCTGTGATGTTCATAATCTCTGGTGTGAGGAACTTTGCTGCACAGAAAGGCTGAGGTCCAAGACCTTGATAGCTGGGTGCAGTGCGAGCTATATCTCCAAGGTTTTTTCTACCCTTGCTTGTATTTTCTGCCTTGATTGATGCCTGAACCAAGGATTGGTCTACAACTCAGTGCCAAATCTACAAACAGCCCTTAGTAACCAATTCTCGCATGCAGTGCACAATCCGTTACAGCCTATTGAGTCTCGATTGCTGAAAAAAACATAGCTTTACCCTTCTAGCCATTCTCCTAGCCCCGAATCCTTTCAAGTGTCGAAAAAATGTCAACTCACAGTTACCATCACAACGGCCAATTCACTACTGGTCCGTGATTGATAGGGGTGATGACCATCACCTTTTCTTGCATCTTGTCAAAGGGGATTGGAAATTCTCCCATTGTAGCCCTGATAGTGGCAATGGAACCCAAAAAGTCATGGCCCAGAACTTTGGTCCTAGAACTTAGCTCTGATCTATGGGATCAAGCTTGAATTGTAGCTGTAAGCCACAATGAGCTCAATGAGCAGGGCTCTTGAAACATGTTTTCTATCACTATACCTCTTTGCAAGTTCCATAATGACCTTTAGTTCAAATGACATGGACAGTTTTGCATGGGTGGCTTGTTGTAGTGCCGTGAAGACTTGCTCTTCAAAACAACTAAACAACCAAACATCCGTTTTCGTAGCCAGGCCAAACACTAGGAAAAAAGGCTAAATAACACGTGTTCACATGTGTACAAAGTTTACGGGTGGGCCATTTTCATGTTTTAGCATGCAGAACATCGATGAATGCATTTCATATGTGTTCAAAAAAGTGTTATTTGGTCTTTCTTTGGTAGCGAAAATCGCAGTTTTCTGGCCTTAGAACCCTTGTTATAATGTGTTGCCGGATCCCCAATACTTGATGGTTCGACTTGATTTTTGGACTGCATAATCCAAACTCCGATGCACAACTTTGACCGAAATTCATTGAACATTGAAGTCCGTATGATGAAGGAGTAATGTGGCAAAGACTTAGATGACAATTAATATGGCACGGAAGAATCACAAAGGACTAAACCTGGTACCACTTTTGCCCAGAAGAATGTGGTGCCTGAGCAGCGATCATGGGTGGGCGTGGGCGGCTGACTTGCTGCACAAGGGGAGGGCCATTGTGGAGGACATCTTTGTGTGGGCTTTCTCTGATGGTTCGGTGAAGGAGGGCGGGTCTGGCGCGGCATCCCTTCTGACCTTCAGGGTCGGGATGCTTTTTTGGGCACCACCCGTGCGTTGACGGGCTCCCACTCGAGCATGCGGATGGAACTTGAGGCCATCCGCATGGGCGCAAAGCTCACGACCGCGCTGCTGTGCAGCTGGAGGGAGGCGATGGAGGTCCGTTTTGCGATAGATTCCAAATCGACCACTTGGCGCCGGAGTGAAGGAGGCGGCTGACAGAGACGGTGGCCACCATGAGGAGTTTCATCTGGAAGATCATCGATGCAAGATGGCGGGTGCGGCTCCAATGGGTGCCCACCCACCTCGGCGTGGTGGAGAACGAGGCTGCGGACGCTGCAG